AGTCAAACATGGATATTTATTAATAAAAATTATTACATAAAGGAATAAGAGGTTTTAGTTGAATTGAAAGAGAACTATATTAATCAACAATGTCGAATGTTCATAAATGATTCATGATCAAAAAGGAAAGACTACAAACTGTAAGTAGTCATTCTTTCTGCATAGTGAAACTAGCATTGGTCTCCTACATGCTTTTTTAATCACCTAGATTTTTGGTCTCTTTTATAATTTGAAAAAGTGTTTACTGGTTTGCAGCCCTGGGCTGAGGCGCGTTGCTGCGTTCCAATGCCCCTGTCGGGCTTCCTGAGCGGTCGCGAGAGGCACGGATGGTCCAGGAGCTCTTCGCAGGATGGAGAGGCGCAGAGAATGGCGGGGGATGGCGCCAACACGGGGCCCCGCAGGCCGGGAACAACGGGCTGCGGAAGCACTGAAGCATTTGTACTGCCTGGACCTTTGGCTCTTCGTGCTCCTGGGCGAGGTGCTGTTCCTCTTCCTATACCTCTTGCCCTGATGGGTTTGCTGACATCCCAAGATCACTGGATTCCGGAGTGAATTCTGAAAATGAACTACAGTCTTCTTGAACAAAGAAGATGGGATTGTGCTACTGCAGAATTTCAAGTCTCCAAGGGACCTTCCTTTCTTTTTACATATTCTTCTAACTCCTTTGGGGAACTACTAAATGAATAGTGATCTCATTCATAGCCAAGTTCCTAAAACTAAATGCAGTGTTTCACATTTAAACTTTTCTTCAAACACCTAATGTCTTTATAGGGGCTGGTGTAGAAGTAAAATTTATACTTCAGAGCTTAGCATATTCACTGAGAATACAGTAATATCTTTACTGTTTGTTGTAAGGGTTGGTCTGGGTTTAACTCAAGTCACATAATGTGGTGTGTAACTAGGTGAGGTGAGGTAGTTGTAAATTCCAAAGTTATTCAGAAGTTGAGAAAAGGACTAGTGTTCTGAGATTGTGTAGAGGCTGTCACTAACACAAGCTGTATAGGAAATAGAGTCCACAATCTATTGGCTGTACACATGCTTAATTTTTAAATGGTCTTTTCATGACCTTTGAAATGCAGGTCGAGGGTCACAAAGGAGGTGGCATTAAATAGTGGAAAGCCCGCCTGCATGCCCTCTTGAGCACCCTCAAATAGGAATGTTTCAAGCCTGTTTTCTTTTCTTTTTTTAAATTTTTGTATTCGGTATGCTTGTGTCCAAAACATTTGCTTTCATAATGCTTGTAACTTATTTGAATACCTCCGCTGTCAGTGGGATATTTACTCATCCTACAGAGCCCTCATCTTTGGCCCCCCAGCATTTTAGACATAGCTGTAGGCCAGACAAAAATTCTTTCCTTTGTAGAGATTGCTCTGTCTTTGTTGTTCTTTTTAATTATGCTGCAGAAAAGTCTGATGACCAGCAGGCCCTTATTCTCCTAACTCTGGAAATTTTCTATCATAAACTTATAAATCCAACAATAAAAATATTGAATTTATGAAGGCTTATTAATCTAGGTGAGAACCATGTGCTGTTACACAGATCAATAACAAAAAAGGCACAAGCTGCTTTTACTGTTACATAGAGTTCTGAACACTGTAGTACTGAAAAGTGCCAGGTTAGGATCCTTTCAGTTGTAAGAAAAAGAAAATTCAACTCAACTTGTGTTAAAATTTGAGGAAATTGATGCTCGTCACTACTTTGAGGAAACTAATACTTACTTTCCCAATCATTCTATTAGGAATATTATTATGATATATATGTATTTTAGAAAAATGTAGTACTACGTCATTTATTTGAGACGTTTCTGCTTTTTGAGACCTTGAATAACTATATCACAAAGCCCAGAAACTCCAAACTTCCATCTCAGATACCAAGGGGCAATATCACATCTCAAAGTTGGTCCTTTAAGGCTGCTACAATCTTGACTCTGTTATCTTAACCACTCCTTTATTTTATTATAAGCAATTATAAAGATTAGAGCAAAGACCTTGGTACCATTTCTTGGTACACTCTTTTCATTGCCTTAGTTTAATTTTTGCCAAAGTGATGTTGCCATCACCTGTTATTCTTCATGCAGAAGTAATAACAGAAGCTCTCCAGTTTTTTGGCATTTTCAGCTCAACAGAATTTCTACAGATATCTAGACTATACTTGAGGTACCTAAGATGAAATCTTAACTTTAACTATCCAATAAGCAGACCTCTTGCTCTGTGGCTTCTACTACATCTCTATGCATCAAATTCCTGATCCACCAGAGCTGCAGTCACTGGGTCTCTCTTCTTTCCTCTGTGAAGTTTGCATACAAGCTGATGTATTCACATTGCATTAAATAAAAGAGGAAGTGAAAGTTGGCCACACTCCTCTTATTGTCTCCCCATTTCTCCTCAAACAGACCTGGGTGAGATGCTGGGTGAGGCCTGTCATTTTCACCTCTTTGTCTGTCCTTGTACCCACTATCTAGGAGAAACATGTCTATACTGAGAACTTATTGCTCTACTTCTATTTACAATGACCCATTTCTTAAAACTGAGTCTTGACACCAAAGACTCATACTCATTTGGTGTAAAATGATACTTTCAATATTATAGGGTTTTAAGTTTGCCCAGCAGGTCAAAGTCTAGGCAAGACAGGAATCACTGAATGTACTGAATGTAAAGAAATCATTGAATATTCATTATGATTTCAGTGACTGAGATGGTTGTCTCCCAATATCCCTTTTCTTCCAGATTATTTCCTTGGGTCACTCATTGGCGTGAGGTCATGAAAAAAAACTGTACCCAGTCCTAGTAAATGCCACATGAGAAGAATCCTGCTGGGAGCTGCTCTACAAGTATCCCTTTGTTTTATGAGTTGACTGCTCATCCTAAACAGGATATTGTGCTATTTAGATGATGTCAACACAAGAAGAGGCAAGAGCCAGGAGTAGATGGAGAATTTCTAGATTCATGTGGACAATATCCAGAGTTCATTCATTCTCTGTTTCTGTTATGGAAATAAACATCTCTATGGGATTAAGCCAATTTGATATTTTTATGAGGTTTTTTTTTTTTTTTTTTGGCCTTATTGTAGCCAAACAAAAGCAACCACTGAAGATAAAAGTTTCTCCCTGTAAACCCTGCCCTCAGTGCATTTTGCCTACATGCAAGACCATTCAGAATCTCTGAAAACTGCTCAAACACCCTGGAGAGCACAAGTCCCTGTGGTTTCTAAGGACTAAGCATGATATGTGCAGAATGTGCTGCAATGTCGCAAAGGGCGTCAATTTTCTTCTCCACTCTTCCTGAGTCATGGTTGGTTCTCCATGCACTGCAAAAGACTGCTGGTGGTTATTTTAATTATTTTCAATTAAAAGTGAATAAAAAAGAAATAAAATTTCTTCTATTTTCTATGACACACTAAAATTATCTGGCAAACATTTTCTAAGGTACATAAAAATGACACCTAACAAAAGTAATGCCATTTTTATGTACCTTAGAATTTATTTTTTTCGTGTTACGTGCTAGGAATTCTGGTGTTTGCTGGACTAAGAGTATCAAGCTGCCTCACTGATCTGCTGAGGCCTGTCATCTAATTTCAGCAATTATCTAAGAGGGCAAACTGCCTGCCTGGCCAGGAGGATGAAGCAAGGTGTTCTAGAGATGATAAACACAGCCTTGTTACCAGGTATCTTCCAAATGTTGTGAGCAGATAAGATGCACACAGTGCACTTACCTTGCTTTGAGGAAGGAAATTGATAGCTCTGTTGACACCACCCACGGCACAAGACCACACTGTGCAAGGCAGCTTTGGCAATGGTGGGTAAAAACACCCTGAAATTGTCTACTTGGAATCCCATTTTTCTTCACTGCATGCTTTCATTGGTGCTTTAGACAACTGATTGTTTACAAATCTTATATTGTGTTAATTCACCACACTCCAATGGTTTCTTGAAGTTTCCATGGGAGAAACTGGAGCTTTTCTAGTCCAACATTTTCTGACATCACTCTATATTCTAAATTTCCAAGTGATTTACAGATTTCCTTTCTATAAATGCATCCTAATTGACATGAATATTTTCAAACATACTGTAATTAAGGTTGTTTCAGTTTTTTTCTTTTTAATATTAATCATGACTCCAGCTATAGCATTGGATAAAACATGCCAAAAGTTCCTTTTTGTCTGCAGAATAAAATTATGAAAAGAATATTTGGTAGAAGGAAGCCTGGCAGAGCAGAGGAAGGGAATAAAGAGGAAGAAGGGAAAGAAAAAGAAAGACATGGGGAGGTAACTGTGGAATGAAATCTACTTATTATGCTATTTTCATGTACAAACATACCACAATAAATCAATAAATCAAATCATTCTCATAGATTACATGTACGTATATCACATTCATTAAAATGACAATAATAGAAGAAAGATCAGGAATGTAGAGCAAGTAGATGAGAAGGAGGAGGACAAGGAAGCTATTTAGGAATGAGCTTGATCCATGTTATGAGCATGCATAAATTTGGCATTATGAATCCTGCTGTCATGTCTCATTATAATGCACCAAAAAGAATTTTTTTCTTCCAAACATATTTCCCAAGCAGAGAAGTACTCAACTCTGCCCTTTTTAAACCTCACACATCTGACCCTTTGTGCTCAGGAAAGGCCAAATATCCTCTCATCTCTTTGACAACCACCTGGAAGGAAAACCTCATTCCTCAGATTCCAGGAGCTCTGGTCCTTGAGCTGCAGGAAGGGAGCCCTTGGCTTGCTGCTCGTCCTTGCCATGTGTGCTTCACCTTGTTGACTAAAAACCATAATCTATATGCAAAATATTTTCTTGTTACTCCATGGGCTAGAGAATCATTGACTAATAAACATTAATTGCTACTTCCCTAGAGCCTGAGAACCCCTATTCTCACCCAGAAATATATTAGCACAACCAACCTGTGCTTACAGTCTGGTAGCCACGTTAGTTTTTGTTCATGAGTCAAATTGAAACAAAACATAAATGTAATAGAGACAGTGGAAGGTAAGAGTCTTAAGGTAAACAACTTTATTTTTTTATTTCAAAAATTGCTGGAAAATTAGTGCTTTCTTTATTGGACTGGTGAACTTTGCTTTGGCAGAATATGAGTTGCTAAGAATTATGGATTAACAACAGAAGTGATGTGTCAATCAGGACCATCTGAGCTAACTCCTGCCTCACAATCAAAGTGAGGTTACTAGTCGACGTTATGACAAAAGTGTCCATGTTAATATTCATCAGCAAATGGATAATTCGGATCGTCCACCATACTAAAATGAGAAAGAAAAATATATAACATAAACTCGGTGACTCCATTTCTACAGGAGTAAAGAAGTGATACCTACTGAGCTCCATTATATTTCCTGAGTGGTTGTAGAATTTACCCTTTCTACTTTGATAAACATTGCCATATAGGAAATGGTATTTTAGTTATAACTAAATTGTTCAAATTCTATTCCCTTGCTGAGAATGGAACACAAAGAACTCACAGAGATAAGAATTGACTCATATTCATCTTCCTTAGCTCTATTGGTCAATCTAGCAAATCAAAAACTCCTTTCTTATTTCAAATTCTTAGTGAAAGCAGAAACCGTACCACATTTATTTACTTACTTTGTGGAGGATGACGCATACATTTCTGCCATGTTTAGAATAAGGACAAGTTCAGATATTGACCAATACAGAAAACATTTTAGGTGTACAGTATATAGCTACCCATCTCTCTTCCATTTCACTAAATCATTAATTATTTTCTCACCACGCATCACACATGGCATGGTGCTAGATTCAGATGTGGAAAGAAGGTTGTTTATAAGATAGACCTGCAAATCCCAGGAGCTCACCATATATTATTAAGATCTCTATCCTTTAGTAACAATACAACACAAAACCTTTACTTCTGGAAATATTTAATAAGTATCAGGAATTGCCAATTTCTTACCACTGTCTCTCGACATTATGTTCCTACTTCATCATTTACTTATATCAATATTAACAAAAATATTAGTAATGATAATATTATACCTGCCAGTGTTTAAGCACATGTAATCATGGATTGTCTAATCCCCTTTCAAACATCATCTCATTTATTACTATTATGAAGTAAAATTCTGACAGAAGGGACATATATTACTTGTTTATCCTCACTTTTAATGTATGTTCAATGCCAGATTCTATTACCATAAAGCATCCAAAAAGAGTAAAGATTTCTGGTGATTATCAATTCTCTTCAACAGGGTATTTTTCTGCACACTCTTCCCTTCTTTTGATTCTCTCTTCTCAAAAACTACTTTATCCTCTGCATTGAGACACCTATAGTCTTTAATTCAAAACCAAATGTCCTCCCAACAGGCTCAAAGGAAGCCTTTGGACAAACAACTGCACTGTCTGGGTTCTGATCGAAACTGCACTAAAAAGGAGGGAAAGACTTGAAAATAAACAAACAAAGGCCACATGTCTATCAAAGTTACTTACAGATGAAAGGTAACATATCGAAAATTTCTGTTCAGGCCATCTAGGACTTTCATGTCTTCTTCGGTCAATGCAAAATCAAAAACCTATCACACAAGAAGAGAATTTTTAGCCTATGTAGACTGCATATTTCCAATCCTGGAAATTCAATGAAATCATATTGTTGCTGAAATATTTAAAATATGTGAGAAGTTTCCAAAAGTTATTAAACACATCAAGAAAAACATAGTTATGATGAATAAACATCTGGTGAAATTTAAAAAAAAAATCACTTCTGACATATATTGTGTGGAAACTACACGCAAATACAACTATGGACAAATACAAACCTCAAAAAGAAGGTATAGAAAAATAAACTAATGTTACTACAAGATTACAGTGTCATGCATTGAAAAGACCCAGAGAAATCTAGAGGCAACAATTTGAAATACATAAGATAATTTAATAATTTTCAAGGATACCGTCTGATTTCTATGTCCTATAAGTGGAGAGTGAAAACTCTGATAATGATTTTCTTCAACATTTTTAAGTCAGGAATTGTTAAAGTATTAATTATATCCTCTTCAAAATGCAAAGAATCTAGTTCCAATAATCACCTTGTCTAAATTTGAGTCATTTAAAATATAGAAACAGTTTTCATGAATTGCTAACAAACTTAAACATATGGGTACTTAAATCTTGGTAATTGCCTTAAGAAATGGTAAAAGAGTAAAATGTTGATTGTTTAACAATTGAGGAATTAGATAAATAGCATTCTCTGCATCCTTCTTTGAACTTTTCTGTACATTTGGAAAGTCTCAAAATGAAAATGGATGTTATTTAAATATCATCAAAATTGTCATTCCTGTATGAATAAACCTATCAGAATTTATACAAATATCTTCATGGATCAGTTTACTGCAGTATATTTAAAGACTAGCTAAACATTGGGAAACTCATATCACAATCATGGAGTATAATCTTTAATATTTATTAATATTTATTGACTGACCCCAATAACATCCTTACAAATTTCAAAGAAGCACACATGTGAAGGATACTGTGTAAGAAACCATATTCTCCCAGCCCTCCTCTCTACCTGAATGTTCTCTTTTATTTCATTTTCCTTCAAACTCTGGGCCAGAACCACAACCCCACGCTGCAGCTGGTAGCGGAGGGCAATCAGGGCTGGGGATCGCTTGTGCTTTTTTGCCAAGGCACCAAGAACGGGATCATCCAAGAGAACTGGAGAGCTCTGGTCAACCCTGGAAGGAAACACAGAGATGCTGAAGCCCTAAGGCCAAGTCATGTATTTCTCTTTAGGGGATGATGTGTTTACTGGGGATGGAACCCAAAGGCTTTCTACCACAGAGCCATAAGCCTAGTTCTTTTTTATTTTTATTTTGAGATAGCGTCTCACTGAGTTTCTGAGGCTAGCTTCAAGGTTGCAGTCTTCCTGCCTCAGCATTCCAAGTCCCTGGGATTACACCAAGCACCACTGCACCTACTTGCAAAACACACTCAGGTCTCTTTGGACCACTCTAAACAGGGATCCTCAAAAGCAGTCCCTGTACCAGCACCACCAGTGTCTTATGGGATCTTCCCAGAAATGTAAATTCTCCCCTCTCCCAATGTCAGTGAGAGTGACCTTTTGAAATCTGAGGCTTACGACCATAAATAGTTCATCAACAATGGCATTTGAGGTAAACTCCCTGATGTTCTCATTACCATCGTTTTTCTCGTTGAGTTCCCAGAGCACTATAAGCAATCAGAACAATGTCTTTGGATTTGCAGAAGTCCAGCAGTTTCCTCTGGTTGTGATAAACATGACATTCTACCTGCAGTGGACAAGATAGAAGGTATCTCATTCTACTCAATGCTAATGCTACTATGAAAACAAAATGCCAATAAAAAGAAGCTGAATTTTTTTAAAAAAAATGAAAGTTGGATTTCAAATTGTGTCATCAATCAAGAATTTGTACAAAGACTCATGAGGACAGTTTTGAAAGACATTTGTGGGTATTTTATAAGTGGCATTTTGGTGAATTTGTTCATCAAAAGCAATAAAACCAGATTCTAGAACTCAGGGAGCTTAGAATAATTCCCCCTAACATAATCTGTAATAACAAGTTCCAATTTGAACCAGTCAGTGTGGGACAAAGTGACTCTGACTTGAACATCTCCCCTATACAGGGCAGTGACAATGGAGACTTGTAAATCTGATGAAACCCTACTGTCAGAGGTGAACCTGGGCATAACTCTAAAAACTTCCATGGTACACCCAACAAAACTGGAAAGCAAGATGTGCATGCCATCCCTCTCCTCTCTGTGAAGATTCGCTCTTCACAGAGAGGAGAGGGATAGCATGCACATCTTGGGAGTCTCACCTTTTTGCTTCCTAATCACCCCATGCCTGTTGCTCTGAGTAACATGTCTGGTGTTGTTCTAGTGTGATGCAAAACCCAGTAACTGTGGACCACTCTGTCTGCCTTGGCTCTTTGGCAGACCCTTGATCTATAAGAAGGGATTCAAGTCTACCTCCTAACTGACTGAAAATGGGAATGTATAGCAAGTTAGCTGACATAATAAGACAGTTTGGGGAAAAAAAAGCCCTGGAAAGTGTCATGTGGAAAAGCACTGGGCAAATATTCTGTGTTAAAAGAGCTTAACAAACATGACAGAAAGTAACATGTGAATCCAAGTCACATCTGGGAAAATGGGAAAAGCTATAAAAGCTATTTCAGAAAAGCAATGAGAAACTTGAACATAGACTGGGTTTAGATCATGTGAGAAACTTAGTATTGGATATAGTATTCAAAATAAGGTATATGAGAGATCATCTTGGTTCCTAGGAGATGTTCTCTGAGCTCTCTAAAAGTGAATATCCAGTCTACAATGCACTTTGAAGAGATTCAGCAAAATATTAAAGAGAAGTATGCAGATATACCCACATAAATCAACATTTCATAGTGATCCCAAAGTGAACAATCTTAGATACAGGGTGAAAAATATGGATGTCTGGTATTATGCTCTCAATTTTTTTGTATGTTTGAAAATTTTCCTGATTAAAAAACTTGGGTAACAATAATTCTAAAATATATTCAATTTTCATGATTTATATTAGAAATTTATACTGATCTTTCTCTAAATATACATTCATATACATATGTGTACATTCATATACATAGAGAGTATTTTATATATATATATATATATATATATATATATATATATATATATATATGTATTTATAAATTTTATGAGCTGTGTTCCAATCAGAGACCCATTACTTTATGACTGAAAGTCTTCAAAATTAAATTAGAGCACAGAACCACGCACAGGGTACCTATGATTACACAGTTGATTTGATATCTGAAAGCAGGGAAGAAAGAAATTTAGAGGGGCTCAGGCACAAGGCCAACTGTATAAGAAGCTAATAGTTCCTGAATGTGGATTTCATCTACCATCAGTATCACCATACACAAGTACCTTCCTCTAGTCCATTAACTTTCACAAGCTCTACTTTACTCTTCCTGTTAAGTGTTCCTGTGGGTCCAGAAAGCTGAAATGGGAGATAACAAGGGTACCCAATCTCCACACAAAACCTGACCACTGATCTTCTCTGATTTTCAGTCTTTTCTTGCTCACTGCCCATTTCTATGTACTGGCCTTCTTTCCTACACACAATTCCCACCACAGCACATTCACCCATCCAGGCTCTGATCATCCTTCATTGCTCAAGAAGTTCACCTTGCCCCTGAAGTCAGATAAACAACCAACCTCCTCCTTGGTCACCTGTACATCACCTGATGTCTCCATAAACTGAACACTAAGATCTTTCCCTCATTTTCACCAGCAGAGATACAATTGAGAATCCTCCACACACTCCAAGACAGTGGCACTGATTTTACACTCTTCTGTTCCACAAAGCAAATGAACTGGGGGACAGAACCAATGAACCCCTGGCACCAGTTCAGAAACAAGGAAGTGAATAAGAGATGGTGAATAGGCTCAGGGCTCTCACCTGGTTGCAGACAGGCTTATACTTGAGGCCTGGTTTATTCAGGATCATCTCCAGCTGCCTGCGGTTAAAGTTGGACACCCCGATGGACTTGGCCAATCCTGCGTCCTTGCACTTCTCCATGACCTTGGGAGGAAGGGGTTGGGAAGAGGCATTTGTACAATGGACTATGTCAATATAAAGGCAAGATAGAACTGTTAAGAGGAGCACTGTCAAGAAATGACAACAAAGCTTACAAATTGGTTATTAACAATAGAAAAATGGTAAATATAATAGGGCAAGGTATTGAGAGCCAGAGAAAGAATTCCTGTGTCCTTGGGAAATCAGACACCACTGCACGTGGAGGCAGGAGCTGGTGTCCTCACTCCTTCTCTGATGGAATGCGTTCCTCCCCACCACCCTAACATTAAACCTCTTTTAAACATGATTTCTAGACCCACAATTTCAGGAGAAAGCATGACGTGATTGTCACCCTGTGGGCCTCCTGTGAGGTCACTCCTTCAGGCACTCACCTCCCATGTGGCACAGAGATCCACTGAATCACATATAATTTTTCCATTTTCATCTAGTGGATAAAGCTCTTCCCCTGGCTGCAATAGAAGTGATCATCACAACAATCTTGCAGAATTCATGCTTATGGATTAAAATGTATATCTAAGAGATGGGACACTAAACCTCCATGAAATAAAGGGAGTATTGTTCTATATTCATCTATTTAGAAAGTGTTTACATGTGAACGAGTAAGAAGTACATTTAGATGCTCATTTTTGTATATTCTCTTATACCAAATTATCTCTACGTTTACATATATATTTATACACACATACATATATACTCATATATAATTAAATAAGGTAATCTCAGGTCTCAGGATTGGGTCTTCTAGTTGGCTTATGTTATTTTTCCTGTCCCTATATATTCCCCTAGGGAAGTGTCTCTCTTTCACTGTGTAAGTCACTGGTTGCATGGGCTTGATCTCCAGCAATGATGGATTTCAGTGATGATACAGGCTAAAGAGTGGTCTCTTTCTACCTGGACACATGTGGATCTAAGGTTGTGTATATGTAGCAAAGATGGTTATGGAAGTTTCAATTCAAGTTTGAATTGATGCAAGAAGATGAAGAATCCCTATCATATACTAATGACCATGAAACTTGAACTACCTCAAAGTTATATGTACCACCAGGGGAAAGGCTAGGACAAAAATGAAGCAAACCTCTAGCAATGCAGACATAATGAATTATTAAACAGAGACGTTTCTGAGGATTCCTTCTAATCATAAACCTAGCCATAGTCAGAACTTCTATAATTTGTATAAATTGTTTATATTAATTTATCACAGAAGTTCAATTCAAACATCAATGATAATGATGGTCATGGCTGAAATTAAATAGGTTTGATGATGCAAATTGCCTACCTTCAGTGCTACTGGGAAATGAATAAGGTAGAGGTCAACATAATCAAGATGAAGTTTTTTCAGTGATCTTTCCAAACAAGATTGGACAAGTTCTGGTCGAAGAAAAGTGGACCAAAGCTACAGATGTTAAAGAAAGGAAATTATACAGGATTAAAATATCATGAGTATTTGAAACATTTGTTTAACTTCATATTGAGACATTTATTTGTCTATTCATTGGAAACTGTTGATCACAGGGAAGATAATCTCTTCAGGTCTTGGATTTCTACTGATGTGACCTATTCATGTAAACTGGATTATATTTTTGGTATTATTAGTCAATCAATTGAACTATGGAAGGAACTATAGAAGACATATAATTTTTATCAAACAATAACATCATTTGATAAAAATTGGGCTCATAGAGATTACAAAGCTATAGCTAGACTATCTCATCTATTCAACACATAAGAATTAGCATTTTTTATTTAAAGATCTGAAGGCAAACACATTTTTAACATTTTAATAAACAAGACAATTTAGCTAACAATTTACTACAAATTGTTCTTTGATAATAATGAATGTAAAGTTGATATTCAGCATAACAGGAAAATTTAAAAAGTCAATCAGAAGATAATGAATCCATAATCTGGTCATAATTCTATCTGATTCCACTACCAATACAAAATCATACCATTGATTGGAGAATCAGAAAAGTTAAGAACTTTAAAGTCATAAATTTATAGATTGTGAGTAGTAATTCATAATCTTTCTGGTTTTGATACTGTATTTTTATGCAAATACCCATTGTACAAATAATCACTTTATACAACTGATAACCCAACATAATTTTCACATCTTTATATCACATTAAAATAATTTTTACACTAGTTAATACAAGAATATGGCATGCTATAAGCCTCTTACACTGTATACACAATACCTTTGAAGTACAAAATATGTCTTCTCTCTTCACAGTGCCATCAGCAATCTTGCTTCTAATGGCCAGTCCTACCTCCTCTTCTACTTCGTATGCATAAGCACAATCAATATGGCGGAAACCAGCTTCTATAGCTATTTTGGTGGCCTCTTTTGTCTTACTATTAGGAACCTAGAGTAACAACCAAAAGTATTTGAGAGTCATATTATGACAGGTTAACTCATAGTGAGCAAAGAGGACAGGTTGCTAGACTGGAAGGAATTTTATATCCCAATGTTTTCTTCAGACTACCTAATTATGTGATAAGGTGCTAGTACCTTGAACTTTGAATGCCCATTTTTCCTTACATAATACTTAAGGAAATAGCCAAAGTACAAAATTGAATATCTTGGGCCAAAACAGTGACCTCCTGAAACTCAACTTTTGCCCATGTCTTGTGTTAGTTCTGTATTTGGGGTAATGTCCCTGAATCACTTTGGGTATTTACTAGTTAATACAAGAATCTGGCATCCCACAAGCCCCTTCAGGTACAGAAATCCTAGTACCCTCACATCAGAGGACCCTAGGAGTGACTCAAGTTCCTTAAGTTTCTGGGAGAATTCACAGAACCCAGCATACAGGTATAGACATGTTATCATTTATTTGATAAATCACTAAGGAAAATTAATACAGGGAAAGAATGCATGAGATTGATTATAGAAAAAATATTATGCAAGGTTCTATGAATCATCTCTAAATAAAGATACACAAATTATATTAAATTCCTAATAATGTGAATTTTGAACCACTTGGAAAATATTTCCTACAAGAAAATATGTTGAGTTCATTTTCTAAGATTTTCATATACTTGTTGACTGTTTGTTCCTCCTGTTTGAGAAGTGTCTGCTTAATTCCTTTCCCCACTAATTTATTGGGTTTTACTTACTTTCTTTTCTTGGCATTAAGTTTTTTGATTTATTTTTATATTCTTGAAATTAATGTCTTATCTACACTGTGGGTGGTAAAGATTATCTCTAATTCTGTAGAATCAAGAGATGTTTTTTCTGGTTAAATTGACACTCTATGCTAGGACACAACACAATTCCACTCTCTCAAAGAAATATAGATGTGTGTGTGTGTGTGTGTGTATACATATATATGGTTCATACATATACATATATATGGTCCTAAAGAAAAGGGTAAAAAACTATTTGCCTGAATATCTGTTTCTGTTCCCAAAATCCTAGCCAAATTATGAAATAATGAGAGCAAGCTTGGACTTCTTCTCCCAGATATTTATTATCTCTAAGAACCTTGACTTTTTCTTCTGCACATTGGAAATGAGGGCAAGGTAATGTTACCTGTGAAAACATGCTTTTTTTCTTGTATGCCAGGACAGTTGCTCCTTGGCATGTTGGTGATATAAGCAAATTAAGGAAGTGAATGTTGATGATGTCATTGCTTCTGCAGCCTAACATTCTTGGTTCTAGAGAACTGGAGATAACCTTTGTCATCCACAGTGTAGAAAAGGTGTTAATTTCCAGAATATATAAAGAAATCAAAAACCTTACACCAAGAAAAGAAAGTAAGTAAAACCCAACAAATTAATGAGCAAAGGAATTAAACAGACACCTCTCAATACCACAGAGAATATCCACATCATGTACATTTAAAAGACTGGGATTCTAATTAGAATAAGACATACTCCATGTTTTTATTAATATCTCAAAATCCACTCTAGTTTCATGTATAATTAAGAAGAACAAATAAAAAACTTGGGTTAAAAGCCCTCTGTTTGTGGTAACTAGGATAGAACTGAGGGTACTGTGGAGAAGATAAGTGTCACTCATCCAAACAGGGTTCACAGAACAAAATGTCATGAGGAGGAGGAAGCCCTGCTTAGCAAAGCAGTATGAAGGCAGGTGCTGTGGTTCAGCCGGTCACTGCTGGACCCTCCCCATAAAGACTCCTCAATAAGCACTAGTGCCTTGTACGCAGTCTGCAGGTATTTTCTCTGGTCTTATGGCAATCTATGCCACTGCCCTGGAACATCAGGACTATAAACATGACTGCAGAATATATAAATAAACACCACTGTTTAGATTACTTAAGGACAGCAGGAATCCTTGTGTGTTATAAAAAAGTGAAGAATCAAAGTTTCCAGAGGTAACCAGGGACCAGGTTGATAATAGGCTCTTGAACAAACAGCAATATGCTGTGTCACCTCTGGTCCACATTTTTATCTCTGTATGACAGAACTAGACACTGGCCAGAAAAAAAAAATATATGTTCTAAGGATATAGACTCACAGAGAAGAAATTATACTCATCTTGTAAGGGGTTATTCACATAAGCATTAGCCCTTGAAGCTCACTCTCTGTGGAAGATAAAATAGAGTGAAATGGAAAATATTGCATCATCTACAAAATTTGGATGATGTTTTGAAAGTTCATTTGTTCAAGAGTAAAAGGCAAATCAAACATGCTGTTTTTCTATCTGACAATTTTCAGAAGCTTTCTTTTTCCATGAAATCAAACTGAATGCAATACTCAGCCCTACCATTTACTGCTAATACTAGCCATTATTTCTCAGGTGTAAGGGCATGTGAACTACAGCGGAAGTCCTAGTGGTCTCCTTCATGCCACTTTACCTTACAATGTAACCAGTTCCTTTCACGTGTCTTACAGTTGGTCTCTGGATTTTTCCTTAAGTCATGCAGAAGAAAAAATGCTATATTCAAAGTTCAGAAACTAATCTCATATCACACAATTAAGTGTCCAGAGTACAAAATTAGTTCCAATCTAGTGAACTTGGCTCGCTCTACTTTAGATTATAATTTGTCAATACAACACACATGAACAATGACCCCAAAATGACAAATACACTTCCTAAGTTCCTGTTCGACTTCTCAGGATGTTATATTATACATTCAGCTGAATTTCCCCCATGTGAGAGCACAT